GCTACAAGCTAAAACTATCAAATAGATAGCTACAAGCTAAAACTATCAAAAGGCTAGCTACAAGCTAAAACTATCCAAAAATGCTAACTAAAAGCTAAAAATATCAAATAGTTAACTACAGAACTACAAGCTAAAAGTATCAAAAGGATAGCTGATAGCTCAAAGTACCAAAGGCTAACTAAAAGCGAAAAGTAACAAAAGACTAGCTACAAGCTAAAAGTATCAAAAGGCTAGCAACAAGCTAAAAGTATCAAAAGGCTAGCAACAAGCTAAAAGTACCAAATGCTATCTAAAAGCTGAAATGTATCAACAAGCTAAAATTAAAAAAACAAAAATAGAGTAAATATGCTGAAGCAATTTTTTAAAGAAATCAATGTTTTTAAAGGAGTTGGAGAACTCTTTGTATTTTATGAAAAAAATGTTTGCAAATAAAGTTAACAATTTGGAAAAGTATTAGTCTAAGCGTTTCAAAAACCAGAAGTCATAGCGTCGGTCTTCTGAAGGAGCGGAATGTTTTGATGTACGCATGAAAGGCTGTAATGGCACAAAGTAGTCAGAGGTAGCAAAAAAAAAAGTATAAAAATTAAAGACAGAAAACAATCGTGCAAATATTAAAACAGCATGTAGTTATGTTAGACCATCCACTAACAGCCTCAACGAATAGAGACAATTTGTTGTTCCTGGCTCAGATAATTTGGTAACAAATAAACAAAAAAAAAACCTTTGCATCTTCACTCACATGTCGATGTAGTCCTTTGTGATGCCCTGGAAGGAACTGGCAGGGATAACATCGATCATCATGTTGTCCGCCATTTCTCTGCAGGCAGAGGAGATACCATTGACTAGAGCAGTTTAGCTTCAACCTCAGGCAGACAGAATTATGTGTTTATACAAATAAGAGCAGCTTGAACCGCAGCGCAGTCGGACAGAGTATCAGTCAGGGCTGATGGCAACGTGACACAGATAGAATAAAACTAAACAATCCTGGAGAGAACAGAGACTTGAGGCGTGCAGGCGGACACTGATCCAGTTTAGGGATGTGTTGCAAAGAAATTAAATTACTCACAGAATAATATTTGGTGCCAAGGTAGAGATGGTTGTGAAATCTGGGAGGTGAAGGATGCCTGTGTTTGAGATGCTCCTGTAAAGGAGTCGCAGCGGAGATTTTGAGGAAAAATCTTCAAACTTCTCATCAACAAAGAACTGAAAGTGACTTTACAGAAATCAGTAAACAAAATGCAGCACCATAAATAACCTAAGGATTATTTCCAAACGGACTCATGTTATTTCTTTATTCTTAGCAGCCTCATATTAATCTGTTCAAGATTAAAGCCTGACTGATTTCTGTCAATCCATTTCTTTGATCTTTTGCAAAATGGATGCACAATCTGACAGTTTCTCTGTATAGATAAACGGCACAACAGGCTTTGTTTTACTTATACAGTAGTCCTTCGCTTATTGCGGGGACAGCCACCTGCAAGCGCTCTTGGCCACGCCCACTTCTCCACTCTGAATGAGAACAGCTGATCAGCTGCAGCAGGAAGCTTGTCCTGCAGTGTGGGCTGCACAAAGGTACAGGAAGAAGCTTTTTATGCAGCTCTGGGCTGCACAAACGTGCAGCAGGCGCTAAATAATGAAAAACAATTTGTTTAAAATAAAATTTCCACGTCGATCGTGCGGCTCATCCATTAATCAGCCAATTGTGTGTCATGTCCAATCTTATTTTGAAAAACCGCAATAGAGTGAGTCTGCGATAAATTGGCATGGCATCCGAAACATTTGTAATGTGGAGTGGAGACACACTGGTGAGGGGTCTAGGGGTCCTCCCCCAGAACATTTTGAATAAAGTAGATGCAATTTCCTTCATTCTGGTGAGTTTTAACGGGTTGTTAAACAGCTACATTTACCTACATGAATAAACATTTGATTCAACAACTATTTTAGAGAACAACAAGAAGTAGCCTGACCAACAGCTCTCCTTGTGTGAATAGAGCATGCTCCTCTCACGCATCCTAACCCCGCCCAGTTGACAACTGTATTGCAACACACAATACAGACGCGATAGCTAAGATGCTACAGAGGTAGCGCTCCGCTTCTCTCATGTATCCTAACCCCCACCCACCCCCCACCCTAGCCCATGAAAAAGACATTTCACTTTGGGACAAATTGAGGTCATTTGGTCAGTTGCTGACAAACCTACTGGATTGATTGACAGGTGACGTTGAGGATCTGACTCGTGCAAAAAAAAAAAAAAGCTTTTGCTAGCCCGTTTGTATCATCATTTATTCCAAATTTATTCAATATTTTGGGGAAACTAAGGCTTGAGAACGTTGGTTACGTACTGTAACCCCAGATTCTATGAATATAGGCGTAGCCCTTTAAGGCTGTCGCTGATGGGTTTATCCCGTTATGCAGAGCATAAGCACTGAAAAAAATTAGTCCACGCCCACCTGCTGTGTGGGCCCCACCCGGTCCGTATAAATTACGTTAAGAGCGGGAAATCGGCTCCCAAAATAGCTTTTTTCTTCAGCCATTTAGGAGCCAGTGAGGCCCGACGCTTAAAGGGCTACGCCTATATTCATAGAATCTGGGGTTACAGTACGTAACCAACGTTCTATTTCATATAGGCTTCGCCCTTTAAGGCTGTCGCTGATGGGTTAAGGGCGAAGCGGATGTGGTCCTCGCCTCACTGGGTCCATTCGAACACAGTAAGAAGCGGAAGCTTGCCCAAAAAAAACGTCTTGTCACCCAGCTCCCCGTGTGCATAAACTACGCATCGCGTAATTATGTGCCATGCACAGACGCATGTTGTGTAACTATGCGTTCTGACAAGCATGAATACCCCGGAAAAAACTTTCAACGGGAAGAGGAAGTTGAAAAGAGGGGGGGAGGGGGGCATGAACCAACTGGTTCATGGTTGAACAGTATAAACAGATTAATGTCCATGAATTGATAAATAATCAAATGAACTGATTGGTAACAATAATCATGAACTGATTAGTGACAATAGAACCAGAAACACAGACACGACTGTGACTGATAACAACATCTCACACTGTAATGCATGCAGACAGAAGTGAGCTTAAACAGAGTTCCATGAGAACAACAATATTCATTCTGTTAGAGCACTAAGGACAGAATGTGTCATGGAACGAGCCGTTACATCACGTAGGTAAAAGCGAATAAATGAGCAGGGTGTTGACCATGCAGCCGCAGTGCAAATGTCCTGCATTGACATACCATTATGCAGAGCAGTCGAAGATGCGATACCCCTGGTCGAATGTGCTTAGAGGTTGACAGGAGGCCCTAAATCTGATGCTCTGTAGGCTTCAGAAAAGGCCTCACACAGCCAGTGTGACAAGCGCTGGATGGATAACGGCGACCTGCAGAAGCATCTCTATAATGCACAAACAATTGTTGAATTTGAACGCATTGCAGCTGTGCGCGTTACGTAACACGTCAACGCCTGCACCGGGCAGAGAAGATGAACAGATGCTTCCCCTTCTGATCTGTGGGGGGGAAAAAACCCCTCCAACGATATCACTCTTGATTTAAAAGAGCTCGTGATGTTTTAGGCATAAAAGCTGGGTTGGTCTTAAATCAGCTGAGCTGCCCGTCAGCCTAATTCTAAGGCATGACGAAGCAACAGAGAGGGCAGATAATTACTTACCCTCTTAGCGGGTGTTAAAACCAGCAACAGGGCTGTTAAAAGAGACAAGAATTTAAATGAAACCTGATCCAGAGGCTCAATTGAAGCTTTGATCAGGGCTCGCAGGACCAGCGTTAAACCCACTGTGGAACAAGTGGGCGTGAAACAGGCCTACATCTCTGTACACCTTTTAGAAACCGCTTCATCAGCGGGTGATAAAAGCTGTTCTGTCTCCAGACCCTTTGTGGCAGGAAGAGATGGCTGCAATCGTACGTTAAAGCGTACTGAAAGCCAACTCCCTATCCATCAGCTGTTGTAGAAAAACAACACGCCGCCTAAAAGGCATGAAGTGGTCTCTAAACCTTCTCTGTACACCAGCGCTGAAAAGCCGTCCCCTTGATGTGTACAGAACTGTGGTAGATGCAGCACGTGAATCTTGAATTGTGCACACTATCTCCTGAGGGAGACCCATCCTCTAAGTGGAACCGCTCAGCGGTCAGACCCGCCGGTGTTGACCTATTTCTGGGTAACTCTTGGTCGCTCCTCCTGCCTGAAGGAGAGCATCCTTCCTCCATGACAGTTCCACGGCGACCCAACAACAGACGTTGCAGGCCTGGGAACCATAGTGCGTTCACACGCCGGGAGCCACCAGGAGAGCTGTCAATCCCTCCTCTTGAACTCGGTTCATGGACCGTAAAAAACAGAGGAGGTGGGGGAAAAGAAACGCGTAAAAAGCGTTTTGGGCCACCGATTGTGAGCAAATGCGTCCCCCCCCAGCGATGGATCGTCTCGCGGGCTCAGGGAAAACCGTAGTTGACATTGAGCGTTCTTCTCGCATCGCAAACAGGTCCACAGCTGCTTTGCCAACTTCTGCTGCGTCTGAAAACATCAGATCCGGATGGAGGATCCGGTCCACGTAACGTGGGCCGCCCTTGGACGTCACATCAGCCCCTCTGTTCAGAACACCGGATATGTAAACCGCTCTAATAAAAGCAGGTTTTGATGAACCCAACTCAGTAGCTTTCGCACAATGTGTAACATCTGGGCTGAACGCACACCCTGATGGTTATGTACGCAGCAGTCATCATGATGTCTGTGTGAATCAACACGTGTTGATTCTGTAGCACAGGAGCAAGGTGTTGAATCACATTCAGTACTGTGCGACACTCCAAAACATTGATGTGGGCTGATGTGTAGTGGGGCCACAGCGCCCCTACTGCTTGAGATAGGCATGTCCCCCCCCCAGCCTGACAGCAACGTGTCCGTGAAGACTGACCCATGACGTGGGTCTGCTGAGGGGGACTCCCTCTGATAGAAAAACAAGGTGTTTCCCCAGAGTCGGAGGTCTGCTTCCACAGAGGAAAAGACAATGATCATCAGTCGTTTGTTTTACTGGATCCACATGCAGACGTGCAAAAACACCTCTAGAGGCGTCTCATGTGATAAACGAGTTTTCATGGTGGTTGAATATAATTCCACTCCAGAAAAACAAATGTCTGGGCCGGGAAAATCGAGCTTCCTTCCACTTTATGGCGAAGCCCAGATTAACAGGTGTGATGTCAACACCTGATCCTGCATCAGCGCCTCCTGTCTGAAGTGACAGGATCCGCAGATCATCCAGGTAAAACAAAAAACTCTCGTCTCTGTGTTTTAGGATGATCGGTATGCGTTCTCTGGATGTTAAACAACAGATCCAAGAACGGTCTCACCCCTCCGATCCGTGAGTAAAACCCTCGTGTTTTCTCTCCCTTGGGGAACTCTGTAGATTACTTTTATCAGAAAACACTTGGATTTCTGCATTTAGGGAAGAGAATCAGTCTGATGATGACGGGACCGTTTATATAACTCCTCTGAATGGAGGGGTTCGGGTTGCAAACTGTAACTTGTACCATTTGCATAAACCCTGTCCATCCATCTGAAAAACGGCGAGCATGTTTTAGCCACTCTACGTAACGTTCGTGGATGAACGTGCGTTAATGATGCGTCATGTTTTGTACGGCTGTCAGCAGTCCGTCCCTCAACCGCCGTCATGCGTCGCGGGAATGTTTTCTGTGTGACCCCGGGCGAGACTTGAGCTGAAGGCGAAGCGTGTGACAGCTGATGACGCGGTGAGCTGCGCGTTTGACGTCGCTGTGCGAACGTTGAAAGGCGGAGGGCGTGACTTCATTTACACCGTGCTGTTGGAGTGAAGGCTGCTTAGCCCCGCGGGAGCACACGTTGTTCTCTGGAGGGACGCGCGCCGCTCTCGCTGGAGGGGCGCGCGCTGGAGGGAGGTGGGACTCATTACCGGGTTCTTCGGCTGCTTCACGTTTAAGCTGCGGTGAGCTGCCGAAAGCTGAGAGAGAAGGACCCCCACCCGGACCAGCCTGCGGACCACATTTATACCGATGTGAGCTGGTTAGCGCCGGCAGCTGTGTGCGCCAGCATCAACGCAGCACCGTTGGATGGAGGCTGTCATCTTAGTGTTCGACTCGTCATGTCAAGAGCGGCGGTGAATTAAAAACCCTATTTAAGGACACCGGCTCATGTGGAGGCTGTTCCATCCCACGAGTGCGAGTTGACACCGCTTGAGTGAGGATCGTGCAGTTCTAGTTGGTAATGAGTTATTTTCGCTTACCGTTGTGCCGTGATCGACCCGTCATGTCTAGAGCGACGGTGAGTTGAAAAAACCTTTATTTAAGGACACCGGCTCATGTGGAGGCTGTTCTGTGATCGACTCGTCATGTCTAGAGCGACGGTGAGTTTAAAAACCTTTAATTAAGGACGCCGGCTCATGTGTGGAGGCTGTCCTGTGATCGACTAGTCATGTCTAGAGCGACGGTGAGTTAAAAACCTTTAATTAAGGACACCGGCTCATGTGTGGAGGCTGTTCTGTGATCGACTCGTCATGTCTTAGAGCGACGGTGAGTTAAAAACCTTTATTTAAGGACACCGGCTCGTGTGTGGGGCTGTTTCATCCCACGAGTGCGCTCTTATGTGTGCGGCCGCTGTGAGCTCATCCGGGCTTACAGACTGGCTAAAAAACAGACACTTGGATCATTAATGATGATTTATTTCAACTTTCGTGTCACTTTTACACACACCCTCCGGAGACCGTCATTTGAGAGCTTTCTCTCTCATGAGCTCTGCGATTGTTTGCCCAGAGCGCTGTCTTGCAGGCGAACTCTGGGGAAACGCTGAGCTGCAGGCTGCCGGAGTGAAGAGGGCTGGATTCTGACGGGCGGGGCTGGTGGTGGAACTCAGCGAGAGCCGCGGCCGTGGAAAAGTCGAAAACTTGCTCGCGACGGTCCCTCCAGCGGGGACGGGGTGGGCCGCGCGGCTTGATGAGGTGGCGAACAGCTTTTGGCACCTCCTCCGACTGTTTCACTTCGCCAGCATGGTTTGAAGCTGCTCTGAACAGCGCGTCCGCGATGGGCTTCATCAGGTCTTGTGCAGATTCTCCGGCAGCGAGGGGAGTAACGAAGCCAGGTGGATCGTTGGGTCATCGTCCTCCGCGCTGCAGTCCCCGACAAGGCAAACCGTGGGAGAGGCACACATGTTGAGCTGGCGTCAGCTGCTTTACAGAGGGAGATCTTCGTCTCCAAGGCAGGTCTGCGGCCTTCAATCCCTTGGACATGCTATATGCTAGCAGCGCACGTTGTTGCTAGCTGCGGCTGCCTGAAAAACACGTCGGTGGGCTCGATTGGAGAGCGTGGTCGCCGTCTGTGTTCCTCCGGAGGGACGGGACGCTGCTCCGACCTGGGCAGCTTCGCT